TCAGACTAATAGCAGACTTCTCAACATAAACCTTACACACCAGAAGAGAACGGTATGATGTATTCAAAGTACTAAAAGAAAAAAAAATGCCAGCTGAGAATACTATACCAAGCAAGGCTATCTTCAGAAACCAAGTAGAAATAGCATATTTCTCAGATAAACAAAAACTGCAGGAGTTTATCACCACATGACCAGCCCTCCAAGAAATCCTCAAAGAAGTCCTGCATCTGAAATAAAAAACATGATAATCACCACCATGAATCCACTAATAGAACAAAATCCACTGGTAGAACAGATATGCAATCAATAAAGAGAAAGAAGCTGTATCTTACAAATTCAAAAAACCAACAAACACTAAAGATAAACAATAAAAGAAAAAGGACTGAAAGATATTTAAAATAACCATACAAAAATCAATAAAACGACAGGAGTAAGACAATATCTCTCAATAAAAACCTTAAATGTAAAGGGATTGAATTCCCCACTCAAAAGACATAGACTGGCTGAATGGATTTAAAAACAAAACCCAGCTATAAGCTGTCTACTAGAAACTCACCTCACCTGTAAAGATGCAGAAAGACTAATAGTGAAGGCATGGAAATAGATACACTATACAAATGGAAACCAAAAATGAGCAGGAGTAGCTGTTCTTATATCACATAAAATAGACATTAAACCAAAAACTTTAAAAAGAGACAAAGAAGGTAATTATATAATGACAAAGGGATGTTTCTAGCAAGAGGATATAACGATCATAAATATATATGCACCCAACATTGGAGCACATGGATATATAAAGCAAACACTATTTGACCAAAACAAAGAGATAGACCCCAATACAGTAATAGTTGGGGTTCTCAGCACCCTTCTCTCAATACTGGTCAGATCATCCGGGCAACAAATTAACAAAGTAACACAGGATTTAAACTATATGTTAGACTAATTGGACTTGGCAGAAATCTAAGAACATTTCATGTAACAACCACAGAATATGCCTTCTTCTCATCAGCCATGGAACATTCTGCAGAATAGACCACATGTTAGGCCACAAATCAAGTCTCAACAAGTTTTTTAAAATGGAATCATTTCGGGCCAGCCCGGTGGCGCACTGCTACAGTGCGCCGCTTGGGAAGCGTGGCGGCGCTCCCGCCAAGGGTTCGGGTCCCACATACAGACCAGCCGCTCACTGGCTGAGCGAGGTTCGGGAGCAACGCCGGGGGTTGCGATCCCGTGGCCGGTCCCGGTCCAGTACGGGCGCGACGCTGAGGGTTGCGATCCATTGCCGGTCACGAAAAAAGACAAAAAATAAATAAATAAATAAAAATAAAATAAAATAAAATAAAATGGAATAATTTCGGGCCGGCCCGGTGGCGCACTGCTACAGTGCGCCGCTTGGGAAGCGTGGCGGCGCTCCCGCCAAGGGGTCGGGTCCCACATACAGACCAGCCGCTCACTGGCTGAGCGAGGTTCGGGAGCAATGCCGGGGGTTGCGATCCCGTGGCCGGTCCCGGTCCAGTACGGGCGCGACGCTGAGGGTTGCGAT